ATCGTGCCAAGCTAACGCGGCTTTCTCTGCACCGTGTCATAATCAACCGTTAACCCGCAGATAACTCAGCAGCAAACACAGTATAAACAGACAATCCGACTACGAAACGATGACAGACTCACCATTGGTGTCGACTGTGAGGCGGCCTGTAACGTTTCAAGCCAAGTACAAGCCGTGTCACATGGACTCCATTCCCGAAGGCGAGACGAACCGACGGCACCCAGCTTTTTAGTATCTTTTCCCGCTGCAAACTCAACTTTTGACCACCTCGAGCTTTGCGCCACCCTACATCTGGCCTACAAAACAAGGCCCTCGCTAAGCGGTGACCAGACATACGTAGTACGTGCTCAAGCCAACGCAACTTACTTAGTGCTATCTGTTGTTCTGAGGAACTAGCCTGATTACCACTGACTAATACTCACCTACGCGCAACATCGTTGCGGACACGCTGGTGTCATGTGCCATCAGCAATACTTCGCAGGCAGTGACGATTAAAGACTAGAAGGCGCTTCAAATCCTCATACCGAAGAGGGAAAGTCTCACTCTCGCAGAATGGGACGGCTTTCAGTGTGGCCTTGTAAACAAGGCCTCCGGACTGACGGCAACTTCTCTCTGATGTCACAAGTGTCGCAGCTTCTTGAAGACCATACTACATTTTGCGATACTTGCACTGACGTCAGTGGTTGTGCACCAGTCGTTGCTGATGCGGCTGCCAAGGTAAGTGAAATGATCAACTACTCCGAGTGCTTTGCCATCAAGAGCCACGGGGTCATCAAGTGGTTGGCGATCCTGCAACAACAATTTTAAAGTCAACCGATGCCACCATTGAGGTTGCATGTCGCAATCAAGACACACGACGGGTGCTACAAAACCAGAAAAATCAACAATAAATCTTGGAAGGCGTGGAACTGTTCCCAGGGGAACGACTTCTTGACTTGGAGTATGCTGACAACATTGCTCTAATCTGTGACAGCTCACAAACGTGTCATGCGGCTTTGACAAATTAGCACTGGCTGTCAACCGTCTCGGGCTAAGCTTTGCACTCTCGAAGTGCAATTTTCCTTCAAGATTTGCAGGGACCGCCTTTTGCGCTAACTTTTGGTGAGGATCAGTTAGAAGTCGTTCGAAAATTTAACTACCTAGGCAGTTGTTTCAGCGCTGTTGTATGGAAGACGAGCTCACTAACCGTGTAGCAATAGCTGGAGGCGCTTTTACTATTCTTCGTTACTTATGGCGCCGGCGCGCCGTCACTGTCGCCATGAAGGAAAGTTTACAACACGGTCGACCTTACTGTAGGATTGTGGCCCATTAGATCGACAGACGTAAAGAAGCTAGTTACTTTCGACCTCCGGTACATTCGCAGTTGGCCTCATATCCGTGGGGAACACTGCGTGAGGAATGAGCGTGTTCGACGCCTTGTTTATGAGACAGGAAGTGGAAGTAAACCGATGGCTTGTACATGTGTTACACATTCCAGTGCACCGAGTCCTGCGACGTGCGTTGTTTGCGCAGCCGGAGTGTTGATGGAAAGGAGGCCAACCGACGACATGGTCAGGAGGAATGAAGGCCTTTACTAAAAAGTTAACTTTGGTTAGAGCCTCCCGGCACTCTGGTTGCGGCCCGAAAGAGGAACACGTTTAGCTGGATACACTTTTTGACACGGATAGGAGTTTCTTCGTTCCTCTCCATCCCGTCTAGCCTCCTCTTCCAAGCCCGATCTTATTTCTGACACAACATAATTTTCGCGGCTCAACCGCCAGCTGTTAGCTCTCCGGAACAATATCCATCCGTTACCGCTTGCTCAACTGGTGTGCCCATGTCACGTCCCACTTTCTTCATGTTTTACGGCACAATAGTTTAAGTGCTTCCCCTATTTGTCTAGCGTGTATAATAATAATATTAATAATATGAGTGTCCAATCTGTCTTCTATGCACACCGTGTTGGCCACGCACTTAGCTACATCTCCACCCGTCTTACTGGCTACTTCAGCTGATGAAACACCCAGCTAACTGGTTTTCCGGTATTTCGATCGCGTATAACTGCAAAACATGTCTGATGCTTTGGAGTCAACTAGACTACTTGCTTTCTGTGTTCATACACCATCGGGTTTGTTAGTGCCCCATACTTTCTCCAACCATACTTTGACAACTACCAGGGAGAATCAGTGGGTCAAAACCAGGCAGACATGCTTTGAGTATAGTTCACTCCTTATGGACGTAACCCAGCTACGATGTTCGGTGCTACATAAATCTTAGAACGCAATACAAATGTGTTTTTCAATAAAGTATATCCCCCTTAATAAAGTCTGATCGTTACGCAATAATTTTAAGGGGTACAGGAACCAGGTGGAGTTTTCGTCACTGTCGGAATACACACATTCACGAGTTACTTGATCGCTCACTGCGGGTTCTTTTACGACTGATCGTTAATCAAACCTTGGAGATGATCAATATTGGGCACCGATCCAAATGGTATTCGGTGTCAGTCGGATTACTTGGTATCATCCACAACAGCAAAGGCAACATAAACAAGCGAGGATGGTTACATTTAACAAAAGCCTCCTTTCGACGGCATGTTTGACAAGTCTGTCGAAAGGTTTAAAGGAGACTAACATATGAAAGAGCGCATCAGATGCAATATTTGCGCGATATAATATCAGGCTAAAGAAATCACCTCCCCTGGAATTCTGCGCTGCGTAACTCGTCTAGGGTCGGATGAATGTTATCTGAAAGTCTGTTATAATACGTAGGAGAATAAGCGGCAGGAAGAAAGCGTCCGTCCCATAACAAAATCGGAAGGTTGCTATATTTGCTCTCCTCAAGAGAGCAGGCGCGATATAAAGATAGGAATGAAGCGTAGGAGTCCATCGATTCCAATGTCTATCCCGCTTAACTCTGCATCGAATTGAAGGGCAATATTGGCTATCACCAATATGTGTTGCGCCCTCACTTAGAAAGGGGAGCCAAAAGGGGAGGGGTTAGTCGGATGAGTAGAGTAGGCAAAGAAGAAGATGTAAGGTTCTTCTGTGTGGCTCCCTTTCGTGGATATACATGTAGCTCATATCTCGCAGGCGTTATCACTGCAAGACCATGAAATGGTGAGGTGCGAAGAGACGCTTTTTGACACAGCAGTCCAGTGGCTTCCATATTACCTGTATGGCTTAGACAGTTAACCAGCCAATGTGTGACATAGGCACTCACCGTGGAGGGTTGCACCAACACTTAAAAGAATACTAAGCGCGGAAATGGACGATGAAGGTGAATGCAGCAATGCGTATCCACCATTCGGATGATGTTGAGACCACGTTACCCGTAAATGTCAACTTGCGCTGTTCACCGCTTCTCATAGCATTTTTTGTGTGTGCCGGGTATTCACCATACAGAGTGCTTTTTTCCGCTGTTCATCTCCATCTGGGTCCGATTTCGTGGGACTGCTCTTCCATCTTTGCTGACCTCAATACTAGGTCCCCTATTTAATCTATCTCAGGCACCTTACGTCAACTATCCAGGCACAGAGTCATGGGGAACAGTGGCAGATCATCACAACTTACAAGCTAACTGGGATATAGCGCGACTGGCATGCAGGTTACCTCCATTGTAAAAGACGCTAGATGGCCTCCAGTGTTCACGATTTCCACTACACAGTTGCTGTGTAGGCATGACATCTGATGACTTTAAGGGCAGGTGCTTTGCACATTGCGCTGCGAAACTGTTTTCGCTGTCTGCTGTTTTACTGAATCATCTTAACATTCGGATTACCACAACACCAGCCACATGCTGGCTGATTGCATTACTGTGAAATTTTCGTACTCCTCCGGGGGACTAGAATCACATCGATCTCCATCTTAGTAGGGTCAGGTAGACATGTGTAGCAGTTATGGCAACTCTTCGACTAAATTGAATTGTTGTGCATTTGAGCATGTTTTCAAGGCCCGCCTTTTGGACACCTGTTAGATCCGGAGGATAGTTGTTCAGAGGCTCCGGTTTCGAGTTCCCCCACTCCTGTACCAAGTTTGGGTGCGCTAGCACTATTCAGCGTCGGAATCACTTGCGGTCGCAACGGTGCGAGTACAGATGGGATGATGTACTGTCGGTATTGTACCTTTTCTTCATCTCTTCGCAATCTCAACCCCTTTTTCGAACGATTCTACTGTAGTTTTGCCTGTGTGTGCCACGTGTGTCAGGCATTCGTCTATCCGAAGTGTGGCATTTATTGTGACATTTGCAAATCTGTGTAACTGCCTATGTGGATTTCTATTACATATTTGCAACGAAGCAAGTACCAGCTGCAGCGGTTCTTTTCGCCGTTAGTCCAGCATAAAAGAAATCTTCGGGGCTTGGGTTCACTCTGGTAACGTTGGCAAACAATCGATCCCATTTCACTTGCAGGACCTAGCCGTAGGAAACCTGAGGTTCAATTGAAGTGGGACCAGTACTTGGTAGAAGCCTCTTTCGGCTACGTGATCTTGGTGTGTTTCTCCCCGGTCGAGTTCACAGCTCTTGCTTTCGGTTTGTCTATATCTATAAAATAACAGGCTGCCAGTTCCTACATCTTTTTCACTCTGACCTTAGAGGATACTATAACTTTCTTGGTCCATTTTCCTGTACCAAAAGGAACCGAGCTACAGCCGTACAAAAACGTTTTCTCCTTTTGTTGAACCGAATCACAACCTTGGTGATTGTCACCTCCGCCCGAACAGCGTATCTGACTTGGCCTCATAAGGACATCTTCAATCGCTGGTACACAAATCCCCAGGGTGCCGTTACGTACATAGCCCGCGTATTGCAAGCGCCTTCCGATGATCTCCGGCCTTTGGGAATTAGTTTTCTCTATCTCATCGACCTCTAATCTCGGTCGTACGGCTAAATTATTACTTCGATAAACTGACGCGTTCAATTGACCTATCATGCTGCTTTTCTCTACATTCTGTTACCTAACCTTATCCGACTCACTCCTGTTCCCCAAAATGCCATACTTAATGAGTTTCAAACTGGGCTATTGCGGCTGGGTATTTCTCTTTTTGGTGACTTGCAATCTCAATTTTATCTGACTGTAGTCTAACCGACTTGACTGTTGTCAAGTGGAAGCCTGCCCGTTACTCCAAAATCCTTGGTGTCTTGCTTGCAATTAACTCCAGATGCACACAGTTACACTACTTTTGTCTTACCTGTCTAACCCTTTCCTAATATTTCTGCTGTCTATGATGATGGCTACGCGCGCTAATATTTTCCCATCTCTTCTGTTACGTTTGTAAAAATGCAATGATACCCCATCGCACATATGTAGTCTTTTTGCTAACTAGCACATTGGCTTGACGACGGGAGCAGTCGGGCATATATGTGCTTCGCATTTCAAGAAATACACTGCTTTTTAGCATCGAATGTTTCAATGCAACAGAATATCGTGAGGTTAATGTGCGATTCAGATTGCCAAGTCTTCTTGTTACACGCCCTCGCTTCAGGGGATGGTATTTACAAGGAAACTTTACCACTTCCTCTTTCTGAACTATTAGGTGCACCAAACTCTCACTTCGGCTTTGTGTATGTGCTCGACTGAGTTCTTTCAGGTGTTATGGGCTTGTCAGCAACATCACTGTGCTAAACACCTACTCTGTTAATGCCGTTCCTACCATACTCTTCTAGCTATCACCTGCTGTTTAATCGACTGTTTTCCAATTCACCTACGGTTAAAGGATTAAATGAACGGTATATTTCTTGACGGTGCGAGGCACAACCCAACTAAATGGTGCGAACAATTTGTACAGTGAGTTCGCATAAAACAGGTGATTGATCACGTTTTATAAAATGGATCCCAAACAGATTTTTAAAGTTGAAACATTTTAGAGGAATTGAGAAATTGGGGACCATAGCAAATGTTGATTTAACCAAATGTTCAAACAGTACAGCTACCCGTGAAATCGTCTCCAGGGAATCTGCTTTCGTGCAGTATATACCATCGAAAGGTTTCACCCGCACTTCCATGCCCCACCTTGCTGTGTGCCGGTGTGGCAATATTGTAAGTAGGCCATCACCTGCTTAACAAATTTTAGGGCTGTTTTTGTGCGCATCGGTTATGGGCGATCAGCCCACCCAACCCGTTCTATCATTCGGTTATTTTTAGCCTAGCACTTTTATACATGCTAGAAATATGACAATGCATCATCATCATACACGTTAGCTAGAGGTGGGAAACACCTCAGCTACTGTGCCGCAATACACAGAAAAAAGGAGCAAAAAGAATTCAGCTGGGGCAAACCGGCTCAGCTACCGGTAACGGATGGGCATCGTTCCGGTAAGCTACCAGCCGGCTGCTGTGCACCCAAAAAGAATAAAAATATTATGCAAGATTATATAAAGCTAAATAATGAGATCGTGGTTGGAGGGGGAGGCTAAGAGGGATGGGGTGGGACAAAGAAACTCACAGCACGAACGCCACTGAGGTCGGCTCCTAGCCATATCAGCAAGCGTGTCCAACCAAACGTGTTCATCGTCTTTCGGACCCCAACCAGGGAACCGAGACGCTCCAACCGAGGCCAGCTCAGAAGTGAGGGCCTTCATTCCTCTGGACCAAGTCATCGCTTGGCTACCCCTCCTCTTCTTCCATCCACACTCCCGGCGCGCAAACAACGCACATCGCAGGAGTCGGTGGGCTGGCATGCGTAACACGTGGCCGAGCCATCGGAGCCTGGTGCGTGAAATGACGGTGCTGAGCGGTTCAGTTCCTTTTCCTGTGCCATAAACAATGCGTCGAACACGCTCGTTGCTCACGCGGTTTTCCCACCAGATGTGAGCTAAATTACGAAGGCACCGGTGGTCGAACGTAACTAGCCTCTTCAGGTCCGCTGCTTTAAGCGGCCAGGTTTCACAACCGTACAGTAGGGTCGAACGTACTGCTGCATTGTACACTCTACCCTTCAAGGCAAGAGTGATGTCGCGCCGGCGCCATAAGTGGCGAAGGTTAGCAAAAGCGCCCCGAGCTTTTGCTATACGGTTCGTGATCTCATCTTCAATCCCACGGGCGCTGATACAACTTCCCAGGTAGTTGAATTTTTGAACGACTTCTAGCTGATCGCCACCAAGGGTCAACGTAGGGGGCGGTCCAGACCAATCTTGGAGGAACGCTTTGCACTTCTAGGGTGCGAAGCAAAGCCCGAAGTGACGGACAGCTAGTGCTAATCTGTCCAGTGCCGCTTGGCACATTTGTTAGCTGTCACAGATTAGGGCAATATCATCAGCATATTCCAAGTCAAGAAGTCGTTCTACTGGGAGTAGCTCCACACCTTCTAAGTCGTGTCCTGTGAACGCGATTTCCATGACTTCGTCAACAGCGAAGTTGAAGAGGAAAGGTGACAGCGGGCATCTTTGTCTCACGCCGCTGGAGATATTAAAGGGCGACGACAGCTTGCCGTAAGCCCTCACTCTGCCCGAGCTACGAGCATATAATGCTCGGATAATATTCACATTTCTCGGGCACACCTTTCCTGAGTAGACAGTCCCAAAGTGCATGTCTATCTACCGAATCGAATGCACCTTTGATGTCGAGGAACACGACAATGGTGGGCCGCCAATATATGTGACGGTGCTCCAACAACTGACCCAAGGTGAAGATGTGGTCAATGCAGCCACGACATCGACGAAATCCAGCTTGCTCTTCACGAATCTGGCTTTCACGAGTGCCAGTCAGTCGGTGAAGGATGACAGAGGCAAGCAATTTGGAGGCGATGGAAATCTGACTGATTCCTCTATGGCTGCCGCATTCCGATCGTGAGCCTCCTTTGAAAATGGGGACTATGACGGAGCGGCTCCAGTAGGTATGGACAGTTTCCTGCTCCCACAGTTTCACTAGTAACTCGTGTAAATCACCCATAAGAGCAGGTCCCCCAAATTTGAAGAGGGCTGGAGAAAGATCATCTGGTCCCGCGGCTTTATTTAACTTCAACAGTCCGATCTCACGTTCGACTTCTGAACGATAGGGTGGATCCAAAGGGACAGCCCAGGGAGTGGGGCGATCAGTGGCCGGCGAGAAATCTAACCATTCCGACCGATATATGACAATGCACTGTAGTCCATAATCAGTCGCACCAATGAGTCTGTGGCAATACGCCCTGCTTGGGTGTATCTATTAGTTTGGAAACTTCAGTCCGTCATTACAAGAGATCAACCCCGTCGTGGCCAACAATAAGGAAGAATATAAGACATTTGTAGGTAGTGGGGGATTCCTTGAGTAATTTTGTGAAGATTCAGGCAGACAGCCACCCCACATCCAGGAGAGTGTTGGGCGGCCGTTTCCTCAGTAGCGTGCACTCGCCGAATCCTGCCGGATTCGAACCCACGGCAGCGACTATTGCTACAGTCATGGGCGACGGCAGCGAACCGCCATGACTGATATCTAACTGCGATGTAGCGCGCCTCATCCTACATGCATATTACGAACGTGTTGAGGACTGAGCTGGCTCCCAAAGCCACGACTTCCTTTATAGTCCGCCACCATTCGAGGTGGCATGTAAGCTGGTTTGGTGGCTACTGCCTATTTGCAAGTAGTAGGGGGATTTATTGGGTGTTTTTGTGAAGGTTCGTCGCAGTTAAACTCGGGCAGACAGCCACCAACCATCCAGGATGGCGTAAATGGCCGTTTCGTCCTATGGGGACTCGTTAGAAGCGCGCACTCGCCGAATCCTGCCGGATTCGAAGCCACGACCTTGCCCTTACAAGCCAGCGACTTGCGCAACTGAGCCATGGGTGACAACGGCGGGCCGCAACAACTGGTATCTAACTGCGATATAGCGCGGCTCATTCTCTACTGTCGTACATGCTATGAACCCGTAGAACACAGGGCTGGCCCCTAGAGCAACGAATTCTTTTGCAAGCCGCCACCAATCGAGGTAGCATGTAAGCTGCTAAGACGACTACTGATTATTTATAAATTATTGTGGACTTTTTTGGTTATTTTCGTGGATTCGTCGCAGTTACGTTCTGCCATGCAGCTACCACACATCCAGCAAAGCGCTATACGACCGTTTCGTCCTATGTTTGGCGGATTGCAAAGAAAGTCGTGGCTCTGGGGGCCAGCCCTGTCCTCAACACGTTCATAACATGCATGCAGGATGAGGCGCGTTATTTCACAGTTAGGTATCAGCCATGGCGGTCCGCTGCGGTTGCCCATAGCTACGGCGTAAGTCGCTGCCTCGCAAGATTAAGGGCGTGGGTTCGAATCCGGCAGGATTTGGCAGGTGCGCGCAACTGAGGAGTCCCAATAAAACGAAACGACCGTCTAGCGCTTTCCTGGATGTGTGGTGGCTGTCTGCTTGAGTCTAACTGCGATGAATCTTCACAATATAAAAGATGCTTACTCAGGCGTTTGTCTCCCATAAGTGACACCCTATTCGTGGGCATTTCTCGTACAAGTGATTCGATTTGAGTGATCGTAGACGTTTTGGTCACTTGTATTAAGACACCGTGTTGACTCAGTGATTAAACACTCAATTATCTCAATTATGTGGTATTAACTGATTCCTTACTTTATCTGATAAAGCCCTTGTGACAGTATGGCTACGATTTTTCCCGATGTTGTGAGCCACAGTCGGAATCTACGTGCCATCATTTCTTCCGAAGTCGCTGTGGCAAAATTCTTCTACCTGCGGATTCACACTACCTTTTTCACGATGTGATAAGACGAGCAGTTACTTTTAAATTTTATGACACTCCCTCCACTCATAGAATGGCCCATGCCTTAGCGAGTGTTTTGTTTTTAGCTGGTTTACTGATGTTCTCCATTATGCTCTCAGGTTCGTCGACTACTTGCGTTGAACACGACCCAGTGGGCCAAATTAGAACGTCTGTCGCATGAGAATCGTCTGCTCAAATCGGAACGCGCTCGAGGCGAAGTCGTCGGTCAGCCGGGAGCGATGGCACATGTTCGCACTTCGTTACCGGATGCCAATTCGACAACCTCGTCCGATTCCCCCAAGGAGAACACCTTCGGTAGGTTTCACTGCGAATTCCTTAAAAACGTGCATCTTCATAGCCACACTAAATCGGACGGTGGACAACGGTTCCTGGTTGCTTTTGGACTTCTTATGAACATTCATTCATTCACACGTTTCTGCCTGCTGCCATCCCAGCTGTTTTCCCAGTGCGCGAATATATTGGGCACGATGGTCTCAAATAATGTATTGCCTGAAACCGGATGTGTACATTTACATAATTCGGCCGAAAACAACAAACCGCGTAGCACGCGCGGTATCTCTGTTATTATAAAAATAGTCGACGGTGAACAGCTTTAGTTATCTTGTAACTCATGTAATCGAAGATAAGGTCAAAAATATTTATTGAAAAATGATAAATCCGCGGTAGATAGATTGAAAACGATGTTCCAGTGATGAGGCAACAGCCAATTTTTAAAGGCTCCGCCCCTGCCTGTTAAGTTGTTATTTCACTACAATTGGAAAGCAACACAGATATTATCGTTTCACATACTCGGTAATCGCCGGATTTGTTACTAATGCACCGGGATGAAAGAATCAAATTGACCACCACAACCACCACCACCACCACTGGTTATTCACTAGAATGGGCTACCAGATAGGCTACCCGATTTCAGGTTGGTGTAAAAAAGTCATGCTACCAGAAAGACATCTTGTACTTCGTCGATACGTGCACCCAGTGATAGATTCTTGGACAAAGTCATTTTTCAGCTGTATATTCCGGTAGATTCGCTGAACGACACATTAGATCTGCGGGATGACTCACATGTATGTGTAAACTAAGGTGTCGTTTTGCCCACCATGCCTCATGCTGAGGTTGATGTTGCATTCATGATGCTTCTTCACCGCAATTGGGCTAAACCAACTTACATTTAATCTAGGTCTGAATGAAAGTCATTCCTCTTAATTTGATTTCTTCAGTTCTATTACTCTGGTGCATATCCTGTGTCAATTTTGCATCTTTGTTTTCCATTAAATTCTATCTTGGTATTTTGATTTTCTCGATGTGGCTGCGCTTGATTGAAATGTTGACAAGGTGCCCACCTGTCTAACACACTCCACCTCGATTACTGGCTCCAGGGGACTGTGAATCATTGTTGGGGGGGGGGCGACGGGGTGCACGGTCCTTGTTGCCGTGCTAGGGTCAAAGAGTGGTTCCATGCACCCATTGGGGAGCGGACTACGGCCCAGCCACCGCCTTGTGTACGTCTAGTACGCATGATTCCTAACTTAGATAGACAGGAATGCTGCTGCTGGGTGTGTGAAGGAGTATGGGCGGTTCGGTCGATGAAACGTGGCTCTCATCCACATGTCTCTGGGCCTTATTCCTTCGGGTTTACACTGCATATGGGGGGGTGTGGGTGGTGCAGCGCAAACCACCTGTGGTCCTTCTGTAGGCGCAGGCGTCCCGTGGCTGGCCACAGTGACAGGCAAATCCGAAACCGGATGCCACCAACCATGCCCACCGACCTCTTGTAGGACTTATAAAATTTCCGTCAGACTCACACAAAGATGCTGCCATTCAACCTCCCAATCGATTATAGTGAATTTGGCTTCTCGTTGCTGAAAGCATCATAGTGGTAATCCTGCGGTTTGTCATGGTGAGCATCTGGTCACGTGGATGGCAATAGCAAGCTATTTCCTGTCCCTGTTCTTCAGATCGTCTGCTTCTGTTGTCAATTTTGAATGCAAACATCGTTTATGGCTCTGTCAACCTGTGTGAATCATTTTAGCTTACTTACACTAGCTATGAGATGTGACACATTAATAGGTTGGACATTCTCTGTGTTGCGTTTGGCAACCGACTGGCAAATTTAGGGTGCGCGGATGGCGTGACTCTTTTTGGTCTCGCCCAGCTGCTGTACATGCACTGCGAATAAGGTGGTGCATACGACTTCACGGAATATATGTTGTATTTGAGTCACTAACGCTGGTTGGGCCATTTTCTTCGTCACTCCACCTATACCGCCGGCGCGATATCACTCTCACCCTGAACGGCAGAGTTTACAGTGCATCCGTCCGTTCAACCCTCTTGTAGGATTGCGAAACCGGACACGGCATTTGGACAGATCTAGAGGATTGTTACCTTGATCCATCACTGCGTTCGCAGTTCAGCTCATGTCTGGTGTCATGAGGAGAGTTTAGTGTGTTCACTGTAGCGTACACAATAGATCTACGTGTCCTGAGTGGTGCTCACTTGGTTCATTGCGTTTGGTATCCATGTCCTGCGGACAGCTCGACTGTTACTAGCGAAGTCTGAGTCGCCGCATAGTGATTGTATGTCTGGTGAGCCCGGCGAAATCTTCGCAACTTTCATGGAGCTATTCTAGCTCCGTAACACTACCGAAAAACCGCATCCACAATAGGAACGGATTACACACCAATTGCATACCTATATATAAGAAAATGTCCAGCGGTGGGACAAATACAAGGATACAGTGGAATCATTTTTTTACTACAAAAATCTCGATACGCGGCTTTCGTTTTCACCTTCCATCAGATCCCCAACTATACTTAGCAGAGCGATTTTGATGTTTTACGTTCGACCACCGGTGTCTTCGCAATTTAGCTCACATCTGGTGGGAACACCGCGTGAGCAACGAGCGTGTTCGACGCATTGTTTACGTCGCAGGAAAAGGAAATGAACCGCTCAGCACCGTCATTTCACGCACCAGGCTCCGATGGCTCGGCCACGTGTTACGCATGCCAGCCCACCGACTCCCGCGACGTGCGTTGTTTGCGCGCCGGGCGTGTGGATGGAAGAAGAGGAGGGGTGGTCAAGCGATGACTTGGTCCAGAGGAATGAAGGCCCTCACTTCTGAGCTGGCCTCGGTTGGAGCGTCTCGGTTCCCTGGTTGGGGTCCGAAAGACGATGAACACGTTTGGTTGGACACATTTGTTGCTATGGCTAGGTGCCGACCTCAGTGGCGTTCGTGCTGTGAGTTTCTTTGTCCCACCCCATCCCTCTTAGCCTCCCCCTCCAACCACGATCTCATTATTTAGCCTTATATAATTTTGCATAGTAATTTTTTTTGGTGCACAGTAGCCGGCTGGTAGCCTACCAGGACGATGCCCATCCGTTGCTGGTAGCTCAGCCGGCTTGCACCAGTTGCCCTTTTTCTCCTTTTTCTATGTATTGCGGCACAGTAGCTGAGGTGTTCCCCGCCTCTAGCTAACTTGTATGATGATGGTGATGATTTTGATGTATAACAAGGAGCATAACGATAGTGGGATTACGAAACGGGTGGAAATTTAAATCATTAACCAAACGAAACGAGAACCTGTGAGTATCTAGTTTCCATTCTCCATCGAGGTGGTACAACCTCATAAACCCACCCCTCATTCAACGCTACGTGAATCCAAACATTAGAAAACTAAGCTATACGACTCGTTTTCATCTGCGTTTCAGAAATTGTTCTTGTGAATTCACTGACTACTGGACAACCTGGGACTATTCTCATTATTCTGACCCTTCTTCATCCTCTCACATATGTTTTAGACTAGACCCCACATCTAATGTTAACCTACGCGATGTAGAATATCTTACCGTTGAACACATTATTTCCCAATACATATTCGTTTAAGCAGGCGATGCGCTGTGCCTCCAATGAGTTGTAGTGGTTAGCGCTCTAAGTAGCAGCAGCCTCGGTGATATTGCACTGGTTATCTCTTTTGCACGCTCTGCTATTGCCCAGCTGTGTGTGTTGCCCCATCTGGTTACCTGATGGCGGTATTCGTTCTCTTTTCGTTTTGTTTTGTACGTTCACACAAATTCACAGCTGACGCCTTGCCAAGTTTTGTAGGAGCAGGTGCTTTTAGATGTTCTGCATTACTTGCCATGAAATCGCGATCAAAGTGAAAGGTTTTTTCTAGTTGTAACTGACTTTTATTAGATTGGCCATGGTCCACCGCCAACATTCTACCTCGTGCGCGAATATCCCGCAACTTCTCACATCATTTTCGTCTTTCATAAACGACATTCCCGTAATCGTACTGCCTGCTCGAATTGTGCGGATTCATTTCTCTCCATAAGTCTGTAACAACGCTTTGTTCTGCAAATGGTTCCTCATTAACGCTGCACTACCCAAATTGCCGCTACACCATTTCCTAGTGGCTTCCTTTGCTAATCGCTGCAGTTTCACCACCCCTTGCCTCCGATTTCGCATGGAGCTTGTTTGCTTCTTTTTAATGTCTTCCGACGATTCTCCGTCCCCGTGATTGACCGCTCATAACCGGTGGCTGATGTTTGGATTTATTGCCGAAACTCATGTTTCCATCGCCCATGGCCTAATTGCTTCCCATTGACATTCCGAACGAACCGGTTCCTCTTCGCTCCAAGGCTCATTTTAGTGATCCGGGCACTAAAGTGCGATGCGTTTCGTCCAGCTGCGAAGGTTTGTACCGTCGAGATTAGAATGAGCATTATCATCTGTAAGAGAAATGATACAGAGGACCAGCATAATTTAACGAAGGGAAATTAGGAAAAGATGCTTAAAATCAATCGGATTAGGATATTAACGACCAGACAAGAAACAAAACACACTAGCGATACTGCCTCCACCGCGGTGTAATATCCTATATGGTTTCCAAACTACTAATGCAGTTCATAGCTAACCCCGTCTCCGGCCAACTCGAGATCATTCTAATCAGACATTTGTGCCACTTCACTAACCCAAATTGGTGCGAAGATAGCGCATAATACAAAAGTTATGGTCGATAGCATTTTATTTGCGATTCGCTAGTAGGAACTGGATTCAAATGAAATATACACAACCTCAGTGGGCTAACTGTAGCGTTGACAGTCGGATCCCAAGAGATCGTTTGCGTTTGGAGCCACTGTGTAATCAGCGTTGGATAACTGTGTTATCCAATATCTTTCTTTACCCCACGTTTTTTGAATACGTGACGTTCGTATCTAAATATTACTGACCTCATCGTGGTAGCATGAACTTGAAGTGGAGCTGTGTTACTGTTCACCTTCGAGATTACTTACGGAGG